TTCCCCCTGCCCGGCGACCGCACCCTGCTGGATTTGACCTCCCTGAAATCTTGCCCCCAACCCACAGGTTGGGCATGGAGGAGCGTCCATACTCCAGCCGCCTGAAGAAGATTGGGGAGCTTCTAGACCAGGACTCGGTGTCCAGAGAGGAAGTGGTGTCCGAGCTAGGTGGGTGGACCTGCCCGTGATTTGTTTCCCCACCTGTTGTCCTTCAGGGTCAGTCCTGGGCTCGGGGAGGGGAATGTGGAGTCATTTTGCCCTGGCCATGCTCTGTAGGGTTCTTGGCAGGGGTGTGACCTCAGTGCCTTCAACCTTGTAGATCAGCATCCCCAGAAATGGAAGCTGACCACCCGTTTTTACAGGTAATGTTGATAACAGATGTGTATGTGCCTAGCACTGGTCCTGGGCACTCTGCAGAATGCTTCGATCACACTTCATCCTCACAGCAGCCCCGTGAGAGGGTTACCAACTTTACTCGCTCTCTGCACTGAGGAGTGGGATCCGAGAGCAGGAATCTTAGTGATTAGTTACCTACTTTCCCAGTCACACGGCCAGTTCCTGATGGAGTCAGGACTTGAACCCAGGTAGTCTCACTCTAGAGCCTGTGATCTCAGTCACAGCCCTGCCCGAAGCCAAGGGTGTTGACATTCGGCAAACAGCCGGATGCCCTGGGGCCCGAGGGTAGGTCAAGCCCCCGTAATCTGGCTTCCCCACAGGGAATGGCATTGCTGCCTTTGAGTCTGTGCCCACCGCCATCTACTGCTTCCTGCGCTGCATGGAGCCCGACCCCGAGATCCCCTCTGCCTTCAATAGCCTTCAAAGGACTCTCATCTATTCCATCTCTCTTGGTGGGGACACAGACACCATTGCCACCATGGCTGGGGCCATTGCTGGCGCCTACTATGGGATGGATCAGGTGCCAGAGAGCTGGCAGCAAAGCTGTGAGGGCTATGAGGAGACAGACGTCCTGGCTCAGAGCCTGCACCGGGTCTTCCAGAAGAGTCTGTGAGGGCCACAGCTGCTGGGGCTCTGCCATGTCCAGTGGGACCAACTACAGCTCAGATCGGAAACCCTGAGATTCCTCAAGCTTGGCTCCCCTGCCTTAGTCTTCCTGTGGTGTGGGGCTGGGGTCTTTCTGGGGGAAGTCATTGGAACAGTGAGTGAGGGGCTGGCGCCTCCCTCATGCCGGGTCTCTGGCTTGCTGCAGAGCTGTCGGCGCTCCCTGGCTCCTCAGTGAGACGTGAGAGACCAGGGTGGGTTTATTTTAGAGGATACTTACGGCATTTTCTTTTATCATCTAGGCCATGGAGTTTGGGGGAGTGGAAATGATCTGCAGTAGCATCATTTCTCCCTGTTGGGTTTTAGCCAATTTGCCAGCAAGCGTCCCCTTGGCTGGGCAGGGCCCCCAAGCAGCAGGTCATGTGGATCAAGGGACAGGCACTTGATTCCAGCTGATGTGGGTCCACACCTGACCCTTCACTATCATGGGGCTTGTTAACAGCTTCCAGTGGAAGTCACAGCAATAAACAGCTTTTGGTAAATCCCACCACTGTTTCCTGCTTCTCTTCTGCCCTGAATGGATCCTTCTCCCGTCGCAGCGTGACCTTCTCAAGCCTAGTGCCTGTCTAGGCTGCACTTTCCCAGGGCTGGGACCCCAAAGCAATGAGCTGCTGTGTTGCCAGGCAAATTCCTCCTGTTCCTCCAGTCGGCTGCCTGTTCTGCCAGGAGGAGCAGAACAGGCATCGTTTGGTGGCTTTTCCTGTTAGAGATCACACAGGGTGGCCCAGACAGCTAGGCCTGCCAGAGGCAGTGAGCAGGAACAGGCCAGATTTTTCTGCTCTGAGAGCCTAACTAAGTAAGAGTTAGGCCCACCTGGGGCAGGAACAGGAACCCTGTAGAAGGATCCCTTCTATCACCAGACTGGCAGCCTTTGGGTGGGGAGGGCATGCCATCGCAGGTGCCCTGGGTGGACCGCATGCGTGTGCCTCCTACATCTTGGGGCTCAGTCAAAGGCCTTGCCCCATGAGGGAGTTTTCACAGCATCCACTTTGGAGAAAGGGAAAGGACACCTCAGACAGCAGGGACATCGAGCATCCTTCCAGCCCCAGGGGAAAGAAGCATGCACGGTCTGCGGCTGTCCTGAGGTCTGAAGACTGGGGCAGGTCTACTTTCAAGTGGGGCTCTGTTAGGCTGGGCGTTTTCAGGGCTTGGATTGTTTCAGGTCTGTTGCCCAGACCCCAGTTCAGGGACAGATCTCTTGCTGCTGAGCATGGCAGGCATGAGCAGGTGCTTTCTGCCCAGGACGGCTCCCCCCAGCCTGTCTTCAGCTTTGGGCCTGGCAGTAGCTGGCCCTCAAGAGCAAAGACTCACGATTTCATTCATAATTTGTATCAGATGTTGAGACTGGGCCCTTGGGCCCTGAGCCAGCTGTCATGCTCCACTACCCCTGAGAGTTTGCAGGAATGTTCCAGTGAAGCTTGATCTGTCTCCCCCAGCTCCAGCCTGCCTTTGGTTTCTTAAAATGCCTCTTGGCATTTGCTTGGCACACAGCCTCAGCAGCATAGGTGTCAAGCATTTCTGATGCGGTGGTGGCAGAAACCTGGGCTGGGGAGCTGGTGAGGAGTGCATGCTCCTCGGGAGAGGGTGGGCACACGAGAGCCGCGGGGCGCTCCCTGGATGCCTCTGCGTCAATGCTCTTTGCAGCACGGCGCTGTTGTGTACAACAGGTTTTATTGAGGTTGTGTCAGTACAGTCGATACGGTTTTTCTTTTCAAAAAGAAGTCCCATTTTATTTGATTCCCCAGTGCATTTTTCCCGAATCTTCTGTGACACAGGGCACATGATAAATATGTGGAGAACTAAGCTTCCTATACCAAGTTGGAAATGAAATGACTAGTGGAAAACATTTAAACCTTAATCTTAAAAAAAAAAAAAATTCAGAATCAGAGTACTAAAAATGCACAAGGTAACGTAGTTTTCTTAGTTAAAATCTGACATTGTTTATCAAAGCTACTCAGTTAAGTGAACACCTGCAACTCGATCCCGTAAACATTTCAGAAATGCCAACCACTCCTCCCTGAAGGCTTCAGGAATGAAATTTGGCAGAAGCTCAGCTCTGTGAAGCAGTTTTTTTGTTTTGTTTTTGGTTTTGGCTCCCCTGGTACCCGACTTAGTCCCCTGGGCTCCGACTGGGAGCCGATTCATTTCTGCCAATCAAAACTGTCCCCAACACATCAGATCCTAGTGGCTTTGACCCAGGGAAGGGAGAGGTTAAGCAAAGGACCCTCAGCAGGAATGGTTTGAGGCTCCTTAGTTGGTTCTCTTGGGTGTCAGGGAGTTAGAAATCAAGTGTCACTGGGGCAGATTTGGGTTTTCATTTCTCCTTTTGAAAGTGAAAGTGAACAAATAGCCTGCTTTGGAGAAGTCGCAGGCAGCGATGCAGGCTCGGCAAGGAGCGTAGGGGAACGCAGCTGAGCAAGTAGTCAGCAGTCATCCTCCGCTTTCAGCATGGGCAGTCCAGCAGTGTGGCAAGGCCACGTCCTGAATGACCCAGGCTCACACTTGGTACGGGGAGGTGGGCTGGTCCGGTGAGGGCCGAGGGCAAGGCCTCCTGCCATGGCGAAAGAATGTCCACCATCCCCAAAACTGATCCTCTCAGCTTTACCTGCTTATCGTGAACGAGGGGCCGAGGGCTCGGGAGGGGGCCCTGCCTGTTTCCTGCAGAGGAGCTCTGATCCGGGAGAATGGCAGAAATGTCCCAAGCCAACTCATTCCAAAGGGGCCTGCTGGCACCCTTTCTCTCAGAGCCTTGGCCTCCCGGGCCCTAATCTTGCTGAGAACAGGAAATTGGAACCAGAGGGTGGAAGGAGAGGAAGCCCCCACAGATTAACCCCTCTAGCGTACACCCCCACCCGCCACATGGTTCTTACTAAGGAAAAGCAAGCGGGAGCCTTCTCTGTTCCCAAGCTTGCGTGCACCGTGTTCAGAGAGGCCAAACAAGAGGCTCTCTGCTTTGGGGATACCTGGGTTGGGGTGATACCCTTACAATTTTATATGAGAAAATCAGCCCACTTCTCCATAGGTGAGAGAAGGGGAGGCACACCCACGTTTGCTGATTGTCAACCCTGCCTCCTGCCACCATGTGCGCTAGACACTTCACACAGTTTGGTCTTTCTGGCCTGTGGCCGTCCCTAGGGGCCTGTGTGGCTGCCCCCATGCTAAGCAGAGCCAGAGTTCGTGGCGCAGCCCTGGAGACAGGGTGGGTGTGAAGAGCTGCGGCCCGCCCCGGATCCACGCCCCTACCCCTCACAAACTACCTCCCATGGCTGCAGCTGAAGCAGTGAAAGGGGGGTGACCCTTCCCAGGAGACTGCAGAGAGGGCCACGCAGCTTTACGCGCCATTCGCAGGCCCGGTGCCACAGCATCACCACTGGGGTCGCGGTCCTTGCAGGGCGTCCACACTGGCCATCTCGATGCTGCCCCCACTCCCTTTCCCCTGGAGGGAAACAAACTCCAGGGAACCCCACTGTCATATGCTGGAGGTCCTGGGGGAGCTGGAAGAGCCCCAGCCAAGGACTGTGAGGGAGCCATGCCCTCTTCCTTGAGCAGGTGCCATGTGGAGGCCAGCAGGAAGGGCTGTCCCCCCGAGGTGGAAGGGTGGCGGAGCTCAGCCCCTCTCAGCTCCTTCGAGGCCCAGCAGAGTCGAGGACACACAGGGCTGGGCTGTGCATCCCGGGGCGCTGCCTGCAGACCAGGCAGGGCAGAGATGGGGTGCAGCCCCGACCCTGCACAGACATTTAGGGGGAGGGAACTCAGGCCTGCCCCTTCTGACGACAATCTCAGCCTGCATATAGGGAGAAGGCAAGTCAGTCTCCTCGGGCCAAGGCTGTGGTCGCCTCTGTTCAGCCTGGTTTTTTTCTTTAAATGGAGATTCTTTGGAACTGAAAAGGTCACTCTACCACTAAAGAGGAGGAGGCCAGGGCAGCAGGGCCCCCCGCGGGTTATGTGGGGCAGAGCAAGAATCCCGAAAAGGAGGAGTGGATGTACTCGGTGGAGTAGAGGCCATTGGCCTGGTCCGAGGGCATCTGCACCCAGACCTGGTCGTTGGGCCGCAGCTGGAGCACGGCTCCGCCGGACGCCTGGTCCAGGTAGCCCTTCTTGTACTCGTCGTAGGTGTAGGTGGCTGGCACGTTGTTCTTGTACAGGGCCACCCACACGTTGGTGCCCTTGACGTGCACATGGTAAGCGAAGTAGTAGACACCGCCCACAGGACAGGTGAAGATGCCAGTGGCTGGGTTGTAGCCGCTGTGGCCGTTGTAGAGAGTCCGGTCAAATTTCACAGGCATGCCCGAGGCGGGGAAGGGCGAGGTGAGCACCGCGGTGAAGGCCGGGGTGGCATGCGCAGACAGCTCGCCCAGCCCGAACTGTGGCTTGCCACCCTTGCCCAGCACAGCGCCCTCCACGCCACCGTTGGGCAGGTGCAAGCCTGCGATGCCAGTCTCATCCAGGGCCCCGGGGGCGCCAGGGGGCCCAGGAGGCCCGGGAGGCCCAGGAGGGCCTGTGAGTCCTGGGGAGCCGGGGACCCCAGGGGGCCCCGTGGGCCCGGCCGTGCCGGGTTCCCCCACTTTCCCCTCCCCAGGGAGCCCTGGCAGGCCTGGTTCACCCTTCAGGCCTGGCAGACCCTGGGGCCCAATAGGGCCAGCGGGGCCCTGGAGTCCTGGGATTCCCGAGGGGCCCCTCAGGCCAGGCTGCCCAGGGAGCCCCAAGTCACCCTTCTGCCCCAGGGCCCCTGCCACCCCTGGTCCTCCAGGGCGGCCCGCGAAACCCGGCTCACCTTTGGGCCCAGTTGGTCCGGGGGGCCCATGGGCCCCAGGAAGTCCCCTCTCACCTGGGAGCCCAGGTTTCCCAGCCAGGCCACTAGGCCCCTGGTCACCCCGCATGCCAGGCATTCCTGGGGGGCCTTCGGGCCCTGCCTCCCCTTTAGGTCCAGGGGACCCTCGTCTGCCAGGGAGCCCTGCAGACCCAGGAAGCCCGGGGGGACCACCAAGGCCCTGTGGGCCCTGCTCCCCTGGCTCCCCATCCTCACCTGGCTCCCCCCTGTCCCCCAAGAGCCCTGGGACCCCAGCTGGGCCCCTGTCCCCCTTGGGGCCTGGCAGTCCTGGCATCCCATAGCCAGTGGGGCCTATCAGGCCAGGGGGACCCCGGGTCCCTGGTTCCCCTTTGGCCCCTGCTGGGCCCTGTGGCCCTGGCACCCCTGCTGCCCCTGGCACCCCCACACCATCTACCCCAGGGGGTCCTTTGGGCCCCACAGCTCCTGGCTCCCCACTGGGACCCGGAACCCCGGGAGGCCCAGACTCACCCTTGTCTCCAGGGGCCCCAGGAAGCCCATCCAAACCAGGTTTGCCTAAGCCAGCCGGGCCAGGGAGGCCGGGGGGTCCCGGGGCACCCCCCTGCCCTGGTGGCCCAGGCAGCCCTGGCTGGCCCACTCCATTATCCCCCTTGAGGCCTCGATCGCCTGGGGGCCCAGGCTCCCCCTGGGGCCCTGGCTCCCCCTGGAATCCTGGGGGCCCTGGCACCCCCTGGGCACCCGGTTTTCCAGGGACAGTAATGCCTGAAGGGCCAGGGAGGCCAGGGGGCCCTGGGGGCCCCCGGAGGCCCTGGTCCCCTCGTATTCCTGGCTCCCCCCGAAGCCCGGGCTGCCCTGGTGGTCCAACCTTGCCTGGGAGCCCTGGCGGACCAGCCTTGCCCATCCTGGAGAAGCCAGGGGGGCCAGCAGGGCCAGGCAGCCCATGGAGCCCTGGCTTCCCAGTGCCGGGTTTTCCTGGGAAGCCAGGAGGGCCAGGGGGCCCCCGAGGCCCAGGCTTCCCTGGGGGGCCGGGCTCTCCTTTCAGGTCCATCGGCAGCAATGGTAGAGGCATTTCTGAGAAAGAGAGAGAAGGAGGCGATCAGAGGCTTGCATAGTGGGGACATAGGACCCCTTCTACCCATCCCCAACACTGGTATGAGGCAAGGCTCCCTGCATCTGTTCGTGAAGACCACTCTCCGCTGCTCTCATGAAAGATGGAGTTTAGGGGTGGTCCAGAGGCCATCTTGGGGGCTACAGGGTGTCCTCACCCAGGGCCCCTAGCACTCAGCCTACCAGGCTGGGCCTTCCCCATGAGCTTGCCCTGACTCTCATCCCCACATGACCACAGGTGGAGTGGCCACCAGGTGGCACCAGCAGCCCGCCTTAGAGACAGCTGGAGCAGAACCCCCCCCCCATCCCTCCCAACCTCCCCATTTACCTTCCTGCCCCTCCCCGCTCTGAAGACCATCTGTACCAACATCCTCATCCTGTTTCCAGGCCCTCTGGGGCATCAGGAAGAAAAGTGGAGATGGGAAAATCTTTGGTGGGGATTGAGGGGCTGTAGTGGGTGGGGGATGGTAGGATCTGATCCGGGTAGAGGAGGCAGGGAGTTCGGTGGTCAGGAGCTGTTTGGGGCACTGTGGGGTGGGAGGCTCTCACCCAGGTACTGGCCCTTGCCCTCGCGGAAGGGTGGTCCCACAGGTCCTTTTTGCATGGGCTGCATGTACTTCACTGGGGCGTAGCCCGCTGCCCCGCTGCCAGAGGATGCGTGCGGCCCACACCCCAGCAGCAGCAGCAGCCAAGACAGGGGCGTCAGAGCCCCCCGCATGGCGTCGGTGGGCGTGCTGCAGGGAGGAACAGAGAGGCATCGTCAGCCAGCCCCTGGGTGGTTTGGCATCAGGCCCAGGGCTCACAGAAAGATCAGAATTTAGATATTACACTTGATCTTGGCCAAAGACTGAGAAGTGATTCAGAATTTCGATATTATTCACAAGCGATTCCCAAAGCTACAGAGGTCTGCAGAAGCTACCTCCTGAACTCTTCCGACCCTGCCCGTGGCTGTCCATCCCCACCACCATCTCCCAGGGCCCAGCCTCCCTGGGACAACAGCCTCCCCCAAACCAGTCACTCTGTGCAGCCAGACGTGCCTTCTAGAGCACAATCTGACCTTCCCCACTAAAAACCCTTTGGTGATAACATCCACTGCCATGTGCTGGGCCAGCTCTCTGCCAGGCACTGGGCTGAGCTTTTTAGAGATGAACTAACTCAATCCTCACAACATTTTAGCAAGGTATTGTTATTGTCACCCTCACCTTCCCGATGATAAAACTAAAGCAAAGGTCTCTAGGAAGCAGAACTGGGACTTGACTTGGGTCTGACTGACTCCACGTCATGTTGGTGACCTTCTGGGTTCCCCACTGCCTTCAGGATCAAGTCCATGGTGCTTAACACAGCACTCAAGGCCTTTCTGATCTACTCTGTGCCGGTGTCTCCGACCCTGTTGCCGGCCCCTTTCTCTGCCTTCCCCTCCCCAACACATGCACCCAGTAAACCAGAACTTCTTATAGCCCAGACCTCAAGTGGCCTCACACTTCTGGGCGTTTGCACCTGCTGTTGCTCTGCCCGCAGTATGCTCCTCTTGCATGCATCCTTTAAGGCCCAGGCAAGCTGTCACCCTGTCCTCCATAATGCCTCACTCCTTTGTGCCCCGACCTGACCTACCCCTGTCCCAGCACTGAACTCAGCCGAGAGGACAGGGCCTGGGTGGGGAAGAAGTGCAGGCTCTGGGTCCAGACGGCCAGCCTGAGCCTCCCACTCAGCATCTGGGGGAGCTGGACGAGAAGCTTCTTCATCTGTAAAATGGGACAACACGTCCGCACAAAACTCGTACCTGAATGCTTATAACAGCAAGATTCCTAATAGCCAAAAGAAGCAGGGACAACACAAATATCAATCAAGTGATGAGTGAATAAATAAAGTGTGGTATCTCCATACAATGGAATATTATTTGGCAATAAAAAGGAATGAAGTACAAGCCTTCTAGTCCCAGCTACTTGGGAGGTTGAGGCAGGAGGATCACTTGAGCCCAGAGTTTTAAAAGGCCAGCCTGGGCAAAAGAGACCCCCATTT